AACAAGGTTATGCAGGATTTCAAAGGTCCCTATACTGAGTTGGGCCCCTGTGGTTTCACCAAGGTAAAAAAAGAAGGCAAATACTGACACTTGGAGCGTTTTGACAGAAAAAAAGCAAGTTGTAATTTTATTTCACAACTTTAAAAGCACATTAACCCTCCTATGCTGAAGTCACTCTTTGGGTCAATTAATCAGCCGCACAAAGATGCACAGCTGTGTCATATTGTGCACTGCACCAACTATCCTACACAGGAATATCAGGTTGCACTTTTGTGCTGTCCAACAACTGTGCCTCACTGTTTTATGTGCGTAATTGTGCAGTACACCAAATGCAGTGAAGAGGACTGCACAAAAGACCCTGGGTCATTTTGTGCCAGCAATTGAACCCATGCATATTTGAGTTCCATGTAGAAAACACATGCACAAGAGTGACTGTTGGCATTCATGCATATCTGTGTTGAAGCCCAACTCTTTCTTTCCACACAAATTGACATTCTAGGTGAGCACCAAAATGAGCCAGTGGGTGTCTACAGAGAGTTGGTATAAGGGCTCAAACCACAACATGAAACAAGGAGCTTGATCTTAAGGAGAACATTTTACGATAATTCCCTCTCTTGACTCTCATGTATCACAGAATGCCTCTTAGGGTACAAAACTTATTGTGCTGATCTCAAGCTGTTGCATTAACCATATCCCAAGGCACCAAAAAGAAGTTTAAAATAAAATATGTCATAATTATATAAGTGTTTGGATTTGTTTACAAGTTCACAGAATTGCCTCCCTCTCTCCCAAAAAGGAGAAATAGGGGGAACGCTAAGACATAAAGAAATATGGGCTTTACAGCCCTTGAGGAATTTAGGAAAGTCCACAATAAGACAAAAGAATAAACCCTTATAATAGTGGTCTTAAACTTACATGTTTCTTCTTGTAGCGGGCAGCCCGTTCATACATCTGCGAGCGGCTGTAGCGAGGTATGCCCCCGGTCAGCCATTTCTGACGGGAGCAGTGAGGCTTTCCTTTCTTGACAACCGTCTCGTCTCCCATGCTAAAAGCCAAAATGATAATAACAGGAAAAACTGGTTAATTAAGTAATGCCATTTTCAAACATTGTCAAATGGGACCAAAAATGAATAGATCTCAAAAATGAATTTAGTTGACATCCAACCACTTTTTACTGCACACAAGTGTCAATAAGTGTGGGGCCCTGGGTATAGAGGCAGTCCAGTTTACTTGGGCCCCATTTATGGGCTAGGCCTAGGCCTATCTGGGGAGTCAGGTTGGCATAGTCTTTCTTTCCTTGCCTTCCACCTCTGCCATCCACGTACAATTCCCAGCTCGGTCCACATGTAGATTGGGTTTTCAGTCCCCAACTGATTTCATGGGTTTTACCCAGAATAACCCCATGAAGAAAGCCTGGTCAGACTATACAGGTTTTTTCAGGCTTGCGAGATACTGGCTACAGTGTGCCTAGACTAGCCTAGCGGACTTTTGTAGGGTGCCAAGTTTTGATATGTTTGAGAAATCCTTGGTTTCATTACCAAAAATAGATAATATATTTGTCTATATGCATCGAAGAGGGCGCTGTCTACTTGTAGCCAGCTAAATGAAGTTTAGTTAAATTTAGCCAACGACGGTCAAAATCCACTAGTCTAAGTAGGCCCCTATGCCTAAGTAATTAAGTTATTTTACTTGGTACAAAAAATTAATATGCGATGTGTACAACAGTTACCGTGAGTCATGTAGCGGTAATCATTTTCGTGAAACATTTCACCCAACTTCGAATAAATATTATTACAAAATGAAAAGTTTCTATGGGTTCTTAATTACTTTACAGATATATCATATAATTTCCGGCCCTGATGATAACCAAATAATCCTGATTTTTCTTGATTGAAATCTGTACGTTAAATTCGTCACGCTTACATCTAGTTCCCGTAGGATGAAAAGAGACTGACTTACGTTTTACTTGGTACCCATTACCTTAACTTGTTTGGCAATAGCTATGTGCACAAAAAAGCAGTCTGGATGGCGGATACCAGTATCATGAACCGACTGTCTAGTTCCCTGTCCCTGTATCGCATATTGTGTGCTTGTGTACGCGTGCGCGTACAGAGTACATACGTACTATACATGCATGTACGTACAGCTACAGTACACGTACATGTACTGGGAATGGGTACCTTGTATACAAGGTACCTGGTGTAAAACTGACGTAAAACTTAAGCTAGGCTATTTTTTATTTGCTTCTCAAGTTCTTGTATTGAAGTTGTAAGAGGATTTAAAATGTCGACTGAAAGCAAAACTAAGTACAGAGCACTCAAGAGAAAACTCAGATTTTTGATTTATGTAAGTCTTCATAATTTCTTTTAAAAAATTGTAGCCGCCCAGTTACAGCATGCAGCAGGCTAACGACTGATTTAGAAATCGGTATTGCAGTGGAGAAATACCCGCGGAAGACAGTGGGATTTGAATACAACAGGAATGGACACCAGCCGTGGCAGCAAGCTGAGCATTTCTGCGCTATGACCCATTACAATCTCACTTGTAATGCAATAAAAATGTGGTGTAACCTAGGCGAGCTATTACTCACAATACATAAATATGTCATATTAAGAGCAAAGAACACGACATTTGATGGAAAAATGTTCCAAACAAATTGCATTTAGGTGGCCACAAGGGCTGTTTCACAATTTCTGCATTGTTTAAAGATCTCATTCAAGATACTCAACTGTGTTGCTTTTGGTGATAACTTGACATTAGCATCAATACTTCTGTTGTCAAAGTTTAGAATTAGATTTTATGGGAATAGTTTCACATCAGACCATGACGTGTCAAAACGCCATTAATTTAACAGGTTTTAAATGTAGTGCCTGTTAATTACCCCCAAACGGGGCTAGGTATACCTGTGAATTTCAGGGTTAGGTTAATGAGGAATCAGTTATACCTAAGTAAACTTGTTTGAATGTTGGTTTGTTTGACACTGGAGAATTGTGATCATCTGAAATGGAATTCTTTCAAATGTTTACATATATTGTTGTTTTACCATCCAAGGAACAAGAATGCTTTCAAGAGGAACTACGAAGGGCACAGCGCAAATTGCTGAAGATATCTCGGGACAAGAGCTTCTTGCTGGACAGACTCCTTCAGTATGAACGAGTGGAAGGGTCTAGTTCTGATTCGGGTTCAACAGCGTCGTCAGACAGTGAGAAAGAAGGCAAGAAGGTACATGCAAGCAGAGAGTATAAAGTTGCAATCAATCTTATATAAGTCAATTTATACTAATCCAGTTATCCAGTCTCAAGTCCCAAGATACTCAAAGTGAAGTTTGGTAAAGGTTTTCTTATAAAATGGCAGGATTTTATCAGATTGTTTTTCTCAGGTTCTTAGAAACCATAGAGAATGAAATTTTAATGAGTAAGTTCTTGTTTAGATTTTTTTGCAAGAATTCCATTATTTTGGTATCACTCACAGTGTGTTTCCCTTGCTGTGGCTGATGGGATAGACAGAAAAGTATTGTAAAGTAGCTTGCTTAGGGACATACATGCCCTAGCCCCTTGCTGTGCTTGAACTCAGTAGGGAATCATTTTGCTGAGCGTTCCTTGTTTCATGCATTTTCCGGCCCCCCAGAATTCAGAGGCTAAGAAGCAGAAGAAGAAAGCCAAACCAATCAAAGTCAAAGCCAAGAAGAGGAAACAACGGCAGCTGAAATCACTCCTAGGGGGTGACAGAAAGCCCCTCCCAGGCAACCTCAATTACACATCATCTCAACAGCAGCAACAACAGCAACAACAGCAACAACAGCAGCAGCAGCAGCAGCAGCAGCAGCAACTTCAGAGTGTAAGTGCCTGGTCCCGATCACAAGAAACTGGCCATATATCATTAGTTGGAGGTAGCGGTCTCATTGCAGTTTCTTGGTGCTCCATTGAATTATTCTTGCCGACATATATTTTGCTTTGTAGAAATTGGTCTTGTTCCATAGGCTTATTACATTGACGTAGCTCGTGCCGTTTCTGAAATGGTTGTTTCATAAACTTTTTTGAATGGGTGTATGCTGTTTGCAATAAAGTTGGACAATTAATTTGTTTACTTTGGAAATTTTGTTTTCCACACAGAATTCCAAATTGATGGATCTGATGAAAGTCGGTTCCCCAAACGTTCAAATGCCAACAAGTCCCCTGGTCAGTTTAGGTACGTCCTCATGGGAATAAAAGCACACATGTTACACTTTTCCGAAGCAATTTTTAGAGTTTAATCATTACCAATGAGATTTGAAAAGTAAGCGCTCTGTGAGAATTGTGGTTTAGTTAAATGTGCTCGTTGGAGGAAAGTTGAAAATCATTTCTGTTACACAAAATTACTTTAACCACTTCCTGCCAGGGATTCCGGATCCGGACACGTATGCTTTATATGCATGGCCGGGGTCTCCGAACTCAAAGGGAACAGGGCCTTGTAACCAAAGACAGTACTCGGAACAAAAGACCAGGCTGCTGGAAATTACCAAAATTTTTCACTCTCAAAAGTGGAGATGATCAAGCCTTGTTTTGAAACAGTATACCATGGTTTGGGGCATTTAGAGCGAGCGGATTACCACCAGGGACAAAAGTGCTCCACCACCACAGGGATGAGCCACACAGCACAACTGCATGCTAATCTGGCCCCTGTTGAAAAGAGCCAGGTTCGTGAACAAAAGAAAGTTATACAACAGCGCACAATCTGGGCTCTTTTACAAGGCTGCAGGCCTGGCTAAAATACTCAGGCATCAAAAGATTTTGTCTGTCAGGCTAGAGTGGACACCAGACAGTCCTTCACGTGTTTGTAAGTGTCCAGTAAATGAAGATAGGAATATTCAAAGCATTTTGAAAACAGAAAAAATGATAAATATCCCGGCTCAGCATCATCAACATTGAAAATTGCCCCGGCAGGAAGTGGTCAAGCATGAAGGAGATTCTGTGAAAGTTGCTGAGTGAGATGTGGCAATTTGAGACCAAGGAGATGTATCTTGTAAACACATGTGACATTGTACACGTTAACTAATCTTGCACTTGGGCATTTTACAAAGTGCAAAGAGTAACCAAATCTGGATGATTAAACTTAAAAAAAAAATATCTGTAATTTTGGGTCCAACTTCCAAAAACCCAAGAAATCATTAAATTGTATTCATGGATCTGCTCTGCTCCTATAGGTCTGCCTATGCACTCTCAGGAGTCTTTGTTCCCTGGGGTTGGTCTGTCAGGGTTCTCCCCCACACAGCCCCTAACCCCCCAACGCCCTTCCAAGTTATCCAGTCTCCTAGCCGGGGATTCCAGCGCCATGGGGGCCCTCATGATGGCTGGTCTGGCGGCAGCAGCTGCCGGCGAGAAGGCGGAAAAACAGAGCAAGAAAAAGCACAAAAAGTAAGACAGATTTCCATGCACTGATAGAAAAGTTCCATCCAGAAGTCGTTGGCTTTTTGTGGTGTTATTGCAGTCGTAAGCAAGCTATCCGCATTTATCTTAAGGCAAACTTGAATTCTCAGTTCCGATTGGTCCATCCCTGGCAACAAACAGTGAGATAGATAACTGTATTGTACAGTTAATATCAAACCCCGCGCTGTTCCAACTCAACACATTGCACTATTTTTACGCTAAAAACAAAATGCACAACTGCAAAATTTACTTTAAATTCAGAGGTGGCACGTTTACGCACAGAGGCCCTTATAACATCTTTACTGAGTGTCAAGTTTGCTTGCAGATAAATTTATTATCATGATTGTGCTTGTGGAACACAGAATAGTGTAGTGTGTCTGTGTCCCCTATACCACTCGGCCTTTGGCCTTGTAGTATACGGGACACAGATGCACTACATCAGTCCAAGTTCCACTTGCAATTGATTGGTGACTAATAAAAGCAGAAGCACCCCCTCATCGGTTGAAAAAGAACCATATTGGTGGGGAGTGTTCATTTTGTTGGTAGCTTTGCCACTGTAAGCAGGCATGTTGTGAACCAAACTGCAACTCTGGATGGGGGGCGTTGAAGCTGCACATCAGTTTGAAAACACAAGCAGTTTGGGGAACGTTTGTGGTGGAGAGTGCAGCCATGCTAAGCCACCTTATCTTATTAAAGATACTCTGACACAGCACTAAGCCAATGAAATCAGTCCTGCTTGTTGCCAAGTTTATGTTTTGTTTACTTTCTCACTATTCCTGTCCAAGTTACTAGCAATAAAACATCAACTGAAATGACTTTCCATAATAGCACCCATGTTGGATTGAATAAACTCTGTTGGTCACTACTTTTGGACCCTTTTGTTTTGACAGGGATACAGACAAGTCACCCTCACACCTACACCCCTCCGTGTACCCCACCCCCTTCCACCCACCCTCCTCGTCTCAAGCCTCCCCTGTCCAGCTTTCGGCTGCCGAGAAACCTTTGCAAACCATCAAGCAAGTGCCCACCAGCAAATCCTCCCCGTCCACGAGTAAAGCCCCACCTGCCCTCAGCGAGATGATGGACTGCAAGCCGACGGGCACAGCCAAATCCCCCGCTGGTAAGACCCCTCCCACCAATGTGAAACCAAAGACAGCAACAGCTGCGGCCGAGGAAGAGGAGGAGCTTGTGATTGACCTGCCAAACGATTGACATCCACACAACTGACATCCACACGGCTGACATCCACACGACTGACATCCACATGACTGACATCCACACGGCTGACATCCACACGGCTGACATCCACACGGCTGACATCCACACGGCTGACATCTTCACATGACTGACATCCACAACTCCCTGGGTGTAAACTTAACACGACAAGCATTTTACAGATCTGAAAGTCCACCACCAGTACGAATGAACAGCAAAACTCATTCATTCTACTGTAGCGCATATTGCAGAGAAAGCCAATGGCAATGAGCCTATGCACAGGGCCCAATTTCAGGGAGCTGCTTAACAATTAGCAGAAAAATTGTGCTAGCTTTAGCAGCAAAAATTAAGCATAATTTCATGGTGGTGCTCGGCATTGGTGTGCCAATGGTTGCCCACACATAGAGATTTCTATCAACAGGTCACTAAGTTTAAGCAAGTATTTCCCCCAAGGTTAGCATGCCTTTAGGTGTGTTTACTGCTTATGGTCTCCATGAGGATATAGTGTGCCTCCGTTAGCACAAAATCGTACACTATTGCAGTGCCGTGAAATTGGGCCCTGATGGCACCTTGCTTTGTTTACATGTTTACCTTCCTGTGGAGCCAGTGGGGACCCAAGGTCCACTGAGCATCTTAGAAAAGAACACACGTAAACAAACTGTGGCATAATCAGTATAGAGGTGTGTTTTTTCCTTGTATTGAGATTTAACGACATTAACACCAGCTAGAGACTGTATTCAGGCACCCCTTAACCTTCCTGAAATAAAGATTTAGTCAATCAAATTCGCTCAGTCTGGCCCATTTGTGCTAACCTTGCCAACATGTGACTGGAATGCAGCTGGAACCACAGAAACTATTCAGCTTAGAGGGGTGCCTCAACCAATCTCAATTACTGCAGTGAGCGTTTCACGTTTGTAAGCTCTAAGATGTAAGCTGATCATTGAAAGGAATATCCATCAATGATCCTCGTGACACTGACAAAAAGACAGGGTCATTTTTGAACTGTATTCTAAAAATTAGGTTTCACAGTTGTTACCACAAAAGACTTGCACAGTTTCACAGTCGTGAAAACACAAATTAGCCACTTATTTAAATAAGCTAAAAAGGAAGGAAAAACCAAAGTTAGCTGGTTGGGAAACGTGACTAAGTTTGAGAATAGTTAATTTAATGGCTAAAAAATGGCTATTCTTCATCTCAACTCTTTCTTGCAACTACTAGTGACCTTTTAGTGAACTCTTATTTTGAGAAAATAAAACAGAAAAAGGCAAGCTGCAGGTTGATGTCCTTATTAAGTTATTATTATTATTATATATTTCTGGTAATGTCACCAAGGATTCCTCAAAAGCACCTTAGGCACTGTAGCTCGCAAGCCTGAAAAAACCTGTAGAGAGGAGACAATGAGAAGCAGTTACAGTTTAGAGGTGGGAGGAAAACCTCAAAGGAATATTCTGGGTAAAACCCATGGAATCAGGTAGGGACCAATCCACGTGGACGGGGCCAGGATTCAAACCCGGGCCACAGAGGTGGAAGGCGAGGAAAGAACCACTACGCCAACCTGACTCCCCAAGTTAAGTTGATGATACGTAGAAATTGGAAGTTATCTATATGTGGTTTCTGACAGCTACAAAACTAGTATGTTGCATTACTACATTTTTAATAATTAAAATCCTCAATCTCAAAGGAAGCTCTCAACAAATTTATATAAAATATAATGGTTTGGAATTTTTTCTTAAAACCAGAGAATCTCTCACATTTATACAAATAAAATTTTAGCAACGCATTTTAAATTGCACAAATTTATGATCAGACTGTTGATTAAAAATCAACAAATGAACTTCTACGAACTTCCAACATGGTCATCACACAATAGAATGTAAACTTTTCACAAACATCTCAAAACTGACTTGAAAATTTAAGTCAGAACACAATCTTACTTTTAAAGAAACCCTTATAAATATGTGAGATACCCATCCACGTAGGTGACAGTGACAAACTGTTATGAATGTTTCGCTCAAACAGTTGCAAAAAGAATTGTAAAACTCCTGCAGGACAACTTGTTTTGCAGAGTTAAACAATTATGGATAATTAAGTCCTGGAAGTCCATCCAATTCAATTTATTATGGCCAAGGGAGACTACAATGAAACAAAAAAGACAACTGAAACCCCAAAAACTCCCCAAAAGAAAAAAATGCCTCCCTGTAATATTGACCAAATTGACTGGATTGTCAAAGAAATGGCGACTGGTTCAACATAACAAAAACTTGATAGTTGGAAGGCGGTGCAAAAAGTTTTCTGCACGACTCGATCTATTCCTGTGGTGCTTCATTGCCATGAGCATGCTGAGATATAGCTTGGTGAATGTCAAATGATGTCCAATCTTGTACAGGTTGTACCAGCTGATAGACTTCCTTCAGAGTAACCACAGTCTGACAGTTCAAAGACAAATGAAACGCTGAACATCAAAAACTGTAATGATTGCTCAAGCAGAGCTGTAGGCCCTAAGCATCAGTATTCTGTAGGCCCTGGGCACTAGTGATCTGT